GTCTTGGAAATGGCCAGAGCCGAACAGTTAGCCCAGCAGGCTCACAGCAACAGGAAACTGATGGAGATCATCGGGAAATGAAGCGGCCGCGCCTTGCCAAAGAGATCCTGCAGTCGGCACAACATTATACAGTATTATATACCATAGTGCTGCTCTGGCGTCATCTCTGTATTTTTATATAGCTTTAAACATAGAGGGTGTACACTGGCCAGAGCCCACGTCCCTTGGTTAGCATGCCCAGCCGTGTATCCCCGTGCAGTGACGAGACAAGTGTCATTCGTAACTTACCCGCCTTTATGTTTCCATTTCGAAGTTATTCTAGTGACATCGCTACTTTAGGATGGGGACAGCGGAAAAAAGGGTTCAAAGCAGCCTTTGGACAAGAGAGAGACTTTTCTTGTGGGGAAAGGTGTGTGTTTGTGTGTGTGTGTGTCTGTGGCGGGGGGGGGGGGGGGGGGGGAATCTCTGTAAGCTACTGCGAGTAACTTTTTCCTGTACTATTTCCGTAATAAAACATCTTTTCAGCGCTCGGTCAATTTTGGTGTGTAAGAGAATGTTTAATATTTATATTTTTAATAAAAGCTGCAAAGTAACTGTGGTTGTATAGACTTTCTTGCCTTGGGGGTCTTCTAGATTCGGCAGGGGTTTCCTTTCTGTATATATATATATGTATGTATAAAGCTTTCCCTGAGCTATTTGTTTTGGGTTTTTTTACACCCACCCACCCATAACAGCGCTGAAATGAAACGGAGAATTGGCCAATACCTGCACGCTGATAGCTCAAGCAGTGATAGGTGTAAAACGAGTGTACATAAATTATAGGACCCAGCAACGGGCATATTATGAGGATACAGCTACGGGTATGGGTCTGTACGAGGACTTTATTGCAGTTCAAGGGTTTCGGGGATATTTATGCTTTCTCCCGATTATATTCTTTAACATCGCATGGACTCCCTGTGCAGAAAATGCATCCAACACGGTACATAGCCGCATTTTCACTATCCGCTCCCAAATTCAATTGTTTAATTCAGCTCTGTTAAAATAAAATGACTCCAAGCTAAAACCTGCCCTTCAAAAAGCCAGTCTAGCCCCCCTCCCCGCTTTTCTTGTCTCCAATTTAAACAAAATTAGTGCGGCTGTTCTGGGTTTACAGGAATGCTGTTAAAAAAAAAAGAGCTGGAAGATTTTTGCACCTGAGAACTATCTGACACGAAGTGTTGCGGGGATTAAGCCACATGCTTGGCAATGCCATTGGTGATTATTTTGTAAAGTTGAATGATTAACGTTGAAAAAACAATTTCTGTCCACGAGAAGAAACATTTCTACAAAACCCTTCAAACAGACATAAATGTGCTGGCGAATTTCACCCTAACTCGTTGTATAATCTATCGAGATGCCAGATTTGAGCGTGCTGCTGTGTGTCCAGCAACTCAACCATCCCGTGCATGACTAAACGCTTCTGGCGCAGGGTATAATGCCACAACAGCTCCGAAAGAGTCATTAGGGAAGACTGAAAGCCTTTTTGGACGGTCTAAACACACACAACGCCCAATCCTGCACTAACTCGCTAACTCACTCACACTAGTGGGAGTTTGGGGGCACGGGGAACGGAGAACTGGGTTAAATCGTGTTAACTTCAAAGCAGATGTTCCAATCTCTTGGGTGGAGCCCGTACTTAATGAAAGTCTCTAATTAGGGAATTACACCTCAAACTCTGTAACATGCCCCGAAGGGTCTAGCGTGTGACTGGCCGAATGTGAATTTAAGCCCAAAAGAATTAAATTGCTCTAAAAGGAGGCTTCAGTCTCTGGAGAAAATTCTCCTCCTTGGGCTCTACACTGCCATCCTTGTGCGTAAGAACTTCCCATAGAATACAGCTGGAGTGTTGTGACTGGAGAGACGGTAGGATCTCGTGGACCTGTAATTAACACGAGTGAGCGTTGAGTTCGGGGATGCATCTGTGTGCAGGGGTGCCTTTTAGCAGCTAAATGCACTTTATGGTGTCATGCAACTGATTTTGAAAATGTTTGGTTTAAGGAAATCACTCAAGTGCTATTGATTTTGTTTAACACTATTTAAATTCTCATATTCGCCTGAGTACGTGAAACGGACAGTTCCTTACTGGATTCATACATCTGTCATATTTATGAAATCAGCTTTCTCCTATTATCTTATGAATCATCAGGAAAAAAGAGTTCAAAGAAGGATTTTGTGAAACCAATGCAGACAAGTCTGAGTCCTGGCTGCAAATATTCATTGAGAACAAAATCTTGTGGAAAAAACACAATTGGGTGCGGTGATGAATTTTACTGCTGTTCAGTGAAGATATCTGTTAACTCTTAATATATACTTTGTTCTTTCAAAGCTCTGGACAAATATTAACTAACTGATCCTCAAACCCATCCTACATAGTCCCATTTTACAGGAGGAAAAACAGAAACAACATAGATGGTAGGTAGGCTACTTTCAAACTGTTGTCAGAACTGGGCTTTGTATTCAAGAATTACTTGGCTCCCACATTATACTATACTGCCTTCTGGCATTTATTAATCAACCATTTTATGCTATTGACTATGGTACCATGAAAAAAAATGTATGTCTTCACTGTCAGTCATGGTGCTATAAGAAGAGCTATGTATTCAGGGCCTGATCCAAAGCCCATTGAAGTCAATGGAAAGATTCCCCTTGATTTCAATGGGCTTTGGATCTGGCTCTTAGACCCTGACCCTGTAATGTATTTATGACTCTCAAAGACTATTGAACTCTTTCAGAGATGATGACAGTCAGCACCCATTAGGAAATACTCATACAGTATTCAAGTCTGTAATAATTTTTCTAACTGTCCTTAGAGTGTTAGGGTTAGAAATCCTGATGCCCATGGAAGTCAGTGGGAAAACTCCCAGGATTTCACCTTCAGAATCAAGTGCAGTGTCAATCTGCTCACCATTATAAAAGGCATGTCAGTTTATGTAACCAGTTTCACTAGTTAAATATCTGTAGTATACATTGGACACGTCTCTCTGCACTGTGGTAGCCTTTTCCATGGGTTTATAATCTTTTAAATGCATTCTTTAACAGATACTTGCAATAAACTCATCACAGTTCAGCTCAGAATGGTCTTTTGTGGTTTCAAAGGTCTTGCCCTTTTACTGTCAAATTGCTCAATAGGATAAAAGTGAGTGTTGATTTCATGTATCAAAGGAAGTTGAGAAGCTATAGGTATAACAGATATGGATATAGACAGGCACAAGCTGAAACACTTATTCAGAGCCCTCTCCTTGCCTTTTGGGGAAATACAGATAATGAAGATACACATACAGATCTGTATCCCACATAATTCAGGAAGGGTTCCAATCCAGTGCTTCCTACAGCTATATCTTTATTGTCTACAGCCATATAAAATATAACATTTCTGAATGGTTCGAGTGTTATTAATTGTGACCTATCAACCACAGCTGGAAAATACAAATCTAAGGGTGAAAAGCTCCTCTTGCAATCCCCATTTACGCTCAGTTCTTGCGCATCAAGCATGCAGTAGCACCATTTGTGCTGGAATAATTCAGCACCCTGGTTGTGTTGAGTGGAGTTTTAGACTTACCTTTGAGTTTTATGGATTTTGTCAAGGATTTGCCACAAGAGTTAGCAATAAGTTGAAAAGGTGGAGTTACTCCAACTGGTGTAGTGAAGAGTAGTGAGGGGGTCATATTTCAACGAACAGTCTTGGGTAAGCACTTACAAAAATACAGCAGGACACCCAGGCTGGCTACAAACAATCATAATGTTCACTAATTTTGAAACTCTAATTATAGCATGAAGCTTCTGTTCAACATTCTCCTCTCTGAAACAGGTTTTTCTTGAACACACAGTCACTCTTAGTACAGTATTTCATCAACACATCTATTAGTCCAGTTTTCCCACTCCTTTTATTCAGCTATTTCCAAACATCATTCTAATCTAAAAGTATCAGATACAGTATAATGGAATTCAAATAAGGCCCTGGGAATTAAACCTAATCAAGATGTCCCTTATATGGATTATTTCTTGTTGGTTCCAGCCAGGTCACTTGCTGCCTCATAGCTCCTCTCGGGTAAGTACATCCAAAGCCAGCCGGAATTATAGTTATTCATTCAATGAGTTTAACCAGGAGAAAGAGAAGACATGACGAGCCGGCTCATCAGTTCTTTCACTGCTCACTGGAACATCTTCCACTTGTCCTTGAGGGGATGGTTCAGACCCAGTCTGTAGGAGAAGGAAATGTTTATAAGGGGAAGAAGGAAAGCTCATCTTTTAAAGCTGGGATTATGTTTGCAATATGGTTCTATAATACTGGCTTCTTTCTATCAATAAAGTTTGATGGGAAGTAGAAAGGAGGAAAAATCATGAACATGAAAAGTCTTTGGGGGCAGGAGCCTACTGAAGCCAAAGGAAGTTTTGCTATTGACTTCAATAGGGCCAGGATTTCACCCCATGTGTTTGCATAGCTCAAAAAGCCTCCAATTCTCACACGAGTGGATTTCAATAGGACAACTTGCATAACTAAGGTGAGCAGGATTTAACTCCACGATTGAAGTAGGGGCTGTAACTTCTAATCAAGAAGAGAAATGAAAAGTTGCCATATTAGCCACATATTTAACATGTAACTGGAATACACCAGAACAATTTTTACTAGCTGCACAAAGCTGGCAGTCACTCTGGAGTACTGGTGGCACCTTAGAGACTAACAAACGTATTTGAGCATGAGCTTTCGGGAGCTACAGCTCACTATGAAGCTATAGGTATAACAGATATGAAGTGAGCTGTAGCTCCCGAAAGCTCATGCTCAAATACATTTGTTAGTCTCTAAGGTGCCACAAGTCCTCCTGTTCTTTTTGCGAATACAGACTAACACGGCTGCTACTCTAAACTCTGTAGACGGTAAACAACTGATAATGTTATGATCAGTAATCAAATTTAAAAACCCATAAAATAAATAATTTGATGTGTTCTCAAATGCCTATAAAACTTAACGTCTTCAAAAAACGGGACTATACATTTGTAACATATGGGGCAATATATACTAACTCTTTTAGGATGGTTAAAAACAAATTAGTTGTCAGAGCTTTGGGTCCAATTCTGCTACCCTTACTCACATTGTGTAGTATCCTACTGTGGGAAATATACTTGATTTCAATGGGACTATTTGCAAGTAAGGTATTATTTAAAATGAATAAGGATGATAGAATTGTGTCCTTTAACACTAAATATATCTCAACCATTTATAACAGTTGCATAATGTAAAGTTATCAAAATCACGGTGCAAACATATGTACAGGTACTGACAACATATCACAGCTACTTATGAAGAACTACAGCATAGGATGGATGATTATTTGGCATTTTCCAAGCAATTTTTGTAAGTATGTAATGTTAAAATCCATACTGGAATTAGTGAGAAATGATGATCTGTTATGTGTAAGTTGGCTAACGGGCTTCATTCCAGTTACTGTCTAGTTGGACAATGTCATACCACTATAGGACAAATCCTAAAGTCTTGTGGACATGAAAACAAGTAGTTTCCTGTTTCTTTTCCTATATCTAATTGAAGTTTTCAATTTATTTTTAAGGGCCACATCTTTAATTAGTATAAATTGGCATAGCCCCAGTGGTTTCAATAGAGGTAATTCAATTTACACCGGCTAAGAATCTGGACCTAAGACTTGAAAGATGGATTAATCTAGCCTCTTAATTTGGACAAGATTTTCAAAATGATGCTTTTTGTTGCAGGTTCAAAATGTGGTGTGAAAATTTGGTCATTTTATGTACATTTACATTTTCAATGGATAACACTTTCCAGTGAGTAAATCTATTGTGCGCTTGAATGAGAGTGCAAAAATTAGTGGAACTTGGAAGACCTGAAGGAATAATTACCTATTTAGACACCAGAGTTCCTTTTCAGCAAGGTTGGAGTGAAAATTTGTCTCCTAAACTTAGTAAACAGGTTTGTCTGCCATGTTGTTGTAGCTGTGTTGATCCTAGGATATGAGACAGACAACATAGGTGAGGTAATATCTTTTATTGGATCAACTTCTGGAAACTTCTCAATATGAAGGAGAAGGAAGCCAGACTAAATATTACTTCCTGAGAAAATGCAAGAGCCCAACTTGTATTTAGCTCAGACACTTTGTTTATTTCCCCAGACTTGAAGAGCTCTGTGAAGCTTGAAAGATTGTACCTTCTACCAACAGAAGTTGGTCCAATAAAATATATTATCTCATCTACCTGGTCTCTCTCAGTTTTGCACATTTTAAGGAATTAGACACACATCAATCAGATCCTCAGCTGAAGTTCTGGCCCTCAGAATAATGTGTGTAAAATCTTTTGGCCAAAACTTCTAATGTGGGTTCCTCAAGTTACATGCCAACAGTAAATAAGTGGCCTAATTTTTTATAAGTGTACTCCCCTTTGCTTGACTTCAATCGATGTGGTAAGTGCTCAGCACTTCTGAAAATAAAGCCCTTTGTTTGGGTTTATGTAGATTGAGAGGTCTAAGTTTAGGGAATCCACATTTGAAAAGTTTGCCTTTTACTTTCAAATGTGCAACTGAAATGCCTAGAACAGCTAAAAATAATTATCATTATGCATGCACATTTTTGTGCACCCAAGTCCCCAGTAGGGCACTTAACATACACCCTTAGTGCACAGAGTCCTAAATGTCTGGCAAATGATTAATAAAAACACCCACCTCACTTCTGATTTCTTCTCTAAAACTGCCTTATTATTCTATCATTTATCTTACTGTACAGAATCAGCTAGATGGATCACTTCCACTTGATGTTCCAACGACGATTTCATTTTGTTTTCAGACTATGGGCTTGATCCAGCAAAGCACTTAGGACCAAATCTACAAAGGTATGTAGGCTCCTATCTTTCACTGACACAATAAAGGTTAGGATCCTAAATAACTTTGTGGATCAGGGCCTTAAGCACATACTTAACTTTACATCAATGGGACACCTCACAAACTTAAATTTAAGCACATGTGTAAGTGCTTTGGTGGACTGGGACCAAAAAGAATTGGAAAGAATAAAAGAATAACTACTTGGTCTTCTCTACATTAGGAGATACACATTAACACATGGTAGACCTTGTCTGCTGAGACAAGTTTAAACCCAATAGTCTTTTGTCTATAGGTCACAGGGTGGCTGGCCCCAGTAAATGAAGTAGGTCCAGCTCCCCTGTGCCAGAGCTGGTGCGCCCATTTAGCCAATTATGAGAGTGAGGCAGCACCTGGGGGCTATAAAAGGTAAGGGAGAGACCTACTGAGGGAGAGTCCCAGTGAGAGTTGGTCAGGAGACTGGAGAAGTCTCTGGGGAAAGTTGCAGAAAGATTTCTGCAGGCCCTCCCTGGGAAGAGGGAGGAATGAACTAGGAGACTTTATGTCTGGGACCAGGGAAAAGGCTGAAGGCAGAGGAGTAGTGAGAGTGGTTTGCTGGCTGCTGTCCCCAAGCCAGAGAACCAGGGATGGAGACAGTTGAAGGCAAGGGAGCAGCAGAGGAACTTACCAATTGACATCTCAGGGCCAGAGAGCTTCACCCAGAGTGAAAGGACCAGGGAGAATGAAGGAAGGCGCACTGGCAAGGATGTTCCCAGCAGAGAGGCTGTGTGGGGTTCCCACTTGGAAAAGCATGGTTACACTCCAGTTGGAAGGGCTGTCCCGGTACAAGGACAGGACTGGGCTGTGCTGGATAGCTAGGGCATGGTGAGAGACTCCAGGGCTGCGCTGAAGAGCCGGGCCATGGGAGGGACACCAGAGCTGTGCTGGAGAGCCAGGCAGTGGTGTAGTCCTAAAGTGAAGTATCTCCCTGTCCCCAGGCTGTGGGGGGTGAGGCATAGTGGTGTAGTGGAGCTGGAACGCTGTTCCAGTGTGTTTTAGCTCCATCACACTACTGGAGCCAGGACCTGGAGAGGGACGCTGGGGCTGGATGTTACCTATAGTGTTTGGATTATGCTGGGGAAGACTGGACTATTCTTGTGGGACATTTGTTATGATTTATGTGCATGGGATTCTGTAATAAATGAGCCCCTCAAGGGCTATAGTTATACTTTGGAACACTCTGTGGACTATCTCTGGGGACTCTGAAGGAGGGGAATTGAGGCAGGCGTGCCTCTTATGCTGTGGCCTGCGGCAAGAGAGCACTCCAGGCAGGGGGCAGCGCTATGACACCACACCAAGTACTAAATCATATCTAACATTGGACAGGCTAATACATGTTGTAACATGATGGTATTGCCCAGTTTAGGCACAAACTTCAAGACGTCTACAACCCCCCTTTGGTTTTGGATGTATTAAGTGTTTACTCCATGCATTTCGCCATGGAAACAGAACTCCAGTCTACTATCTCTCTGCTTGGTGAAAACGTCTACTCTGTGATAAAAGACCCACAGCATGGTTGCAGCTGCCCTGGGTAGGCTGACTCGGGCTCGTGGGGCTCAGGCTGTGGGGCTTTACAAGTGCAGTGTAAACATTTGGGCTTGGGCTGGAGCCCTGGCTCTAGCACCCTCCCCCTTCGCGAACATCTGCACTGCAATTTTATAGCCCCGCAGCCCGAGTCAGCTGATCTGGGCCAGCCGTGAGTCTTTTCAAGAGTCATTAATCGACACCACAATTAGCTGTGGGTGGAGTAGAGGCAATACTGAGAATGCAGCTCTGCACGGACTTGTAAACTTGCTTTTTCGTACCTGCAACGTTTTAAGATCTGACTCTCACTGAGTCATACAATCATGTAGACCTATTATCATCAGATTGGTAAAAAGGGAAATTCTTAAATTCTACTTCAACTCCCAGAGAAAGTTGTTGCTTGTATAACTCAACTCACTTCCCTTTGTAACAGCAGCCTGACTGTGCACTGCAAAACTATACTGTATCATTAAGATATTTCAGGACAAACTTTTCAGCTCCAGTGCTCATTGAAAAAGAGCTTTTAAAAATAGAGTGGTAGGGAGAGACTTTCAAAGGCAGAAAGGGGAGTCTGGCACACAACTGAAAGTCAATGGAACTAACTTCCCCTTGTGCCTTTGAAACACTCCTCCATAACGGCGTGTACTTCCAATCAGAAAAAGGGCAGCTTTCTCCAAGTTGCAGCGGTCTATACCATATGCCTTTCAAACGGTGTCTAAAGTCGATTCCACACTTCATAATGTCTTCCTGTTGCTATTAAGTAATGAACCTTTATCTGAAATTTATCTCCTAGACTAGGGCTCTTTCTGGGGGCAGGGATTATGTATTTATACAGTACAAAGCATAATGGGGTCCCATACCTTGATTGGGGCCTCTACTAAAAATAATAATGAATAACTAAAACATTCACTTCAGATCATATTAATCACATTAAGGCAATTCTGGAGAAGTGCTAAACACCTAAGGGTATGATTCAGACTTTTCTCACTGACTTCAGGAAGCACTGGATCGTGCCCTCAGTAAACACCAGGAATTCCCATTGAGACAAGTCATGATCAGAGCTGAGCACCTGGTCTTTATTCAGATTTTATTCAAGCAAAATTATAGCAGAAGTCAACAGGCCATATCCTGAGAAGTGCTGACCATCTGCAACTCCTGCTGAATTCAACAGCTGCTCAGCGCCACTCCAGCTCTGGTGCACAGAGTTTGCCTGAGTAAGGATTGAGTAAAACTAAGGACCTCAGGGTTTATTTAATCTGATGAGTTGCAGGTACTCAGCACCTCTCAGGATTTGGTTCATTAAGCACTAGACACAAGCACCAGTTAAATCTTTACAAGGTTCACATTAATACAGGAAAACTGACTTTGCTAGTCCTGTCTTTGTCCTGCAGTTCTTTGATTTTTATTGGGGGAGGGGAGTGGAAAGTGGATAGACTGCTAGTGCATATTAGCTACCTGGAATATTTCGAAGTTTTACATACTGCTTTCTGCTTACAACCACCACCAGTCTCCATAACCTCCACGCACAAAAACTTCAGTATATAATAAACAAGCTTTACTGGAATTAAGAACTTTGTCTTACCATTTTTACGAAGTCAGTAAATAACTATCTTTTTTGGAAGCTGTGCATATTTTTGACGTTGTCTAAATGTGGAAAATCCTATTTGCTTCTATAGATCTTTGCTGTACTGTTACATGGGTACTGGATTGTGTAAAGTTACATTAGGCTATTTGTAGAATGATGTAACATAATGAAAAGTGAGGGGTGAAATAGCTTGATCTCCCTAAGGCCCTAGAAACACATGGGATACAGAGTAGAATTTGTTACTGTGCATTTTCTATAGGGTGACCAGATAGTAAGTGTGAAAAATCGGGATGGGGTTGGGGGTAATAGGTGCCTATATAAGACAAAGTCCCAGATATCAGGATTGTCCCTATAAAATCGGGACATCTGGTCACCCTAATTTCCTACCTATACATCTCTGCTCTTTTATATAGTAACTGACACTCAGTAAAAAGCTTTCCTTAGAATGCTACCTACGACATCAGGGTTTCTGTATGACAGCCAGTTTAGTAATCTGCCGTCTCCCTGCTGCTCTATGCAGGCTGCTACTCGACAATTTCATGTCCCTCCAAAGACTATATGCATGGCCCAAGACCAAAAAAATGGCCTACACATGAATAAAGCAGAAATCAGTAAGTTTTCTTTACACTGAGTGAAACTCTTCCTGTGCAGGAGGCAGCTCAAGGCCTCTGGGCCTCTTACATTCATTTAAGACCTCAAAATAGTCCCAGCTATGCCCTGTTTTGAGGGATTTAAGTGGTGCATAGGCCTTGTGCTAGACCTCTGCATAAGACCTTTCATCCATAGTGGCTGGGGCAACTTAGGAAATACAGTTCACTGACATTTTAGAATATGACTAAGATCATGACATGTTTTTTCAGTTTTTAATCACATTAGCCCTTACTCAGATAATCAGAGGGAGTTTGCTTGAGTAAGGATCAAGTAAAAAATCTCAGTATTTGTCCTTTTTTGTTGTTGTTGCTGCCGCTACTATGGCAAAATCTCCAAAA